GAGCCCAGTTGCCCTGGTGGAGACATCATAATTCAAGTTTCTGAATTCTTTCAGACAAATAAGTCAAAAATAGGATTCTTCTCAGCTGCTCAATCAATATTGGCATTTCCCCCTCTAGAACTGGGAACTTTTCGATTTCCTTTCAGTAAACCCATAATCTCTTCCTGTGATCCTTAGCCTTCCAAGATGGCATTAGAGCCTCCTATAAAAGTCTTATTAACAACAACCCCAAAGCACCCCATGACCCACCTCCTAGCACACACACCTTCTTTCAGCTGCTGCTTTCTCACCTGGCAGTGGACTCGCCTCCATCATTTTCTCCATGTGCAAATCATGAAGAACAGAGCCACCAAGGAATGCCCTATTGAACCCCATTTCCTAGTGAACTGCAATTGAAGGGCAGGTAGCAGGTTCTCAGCCCTGAACTCAACTTCCTATTATTGTCTACAAATTATTATCTACGCCTGCAATTTGTCCCGAGAAAAATGGGTTATATCTTCTCACAGCCCTGCTGAGCGCCCAAGGAGAAGGAAACCCTTATACCAGACCTTTGGTTATGCACATTTACAATTACCCTTCCTCTGAAAATCTTATTGATTTTCCCCCTGAAATCCACCTTATAATTTTTTCATGTGTGGATGAGAATTCAAATGTTGGACAGGTTTCTTTCCTAGGCATTAAATCATATGTGCATTTTTATTTAGCACACTTTTTGGTTTTTCCTTGAGAAGACAGGTAGAAAAGAAGACCAGTGTTCTAAGAAGTTTTGATTGATTGTGAAGGGCTAGCTCTTGCTTTTGACTATTGTTTTCCATGGATATATTGTCCTTTCTTCTCTCTCCCAAGTGCCTCTTTCAAAGAAGTGCTCGGCTGAGGATTATCCTTGAGCCAGCTTGGCATCAGTCATTGATAAACCATTTCATCCGAGATCTGAAGGCAGCTGGCTTTCTTGAGCACTGTGTGGCTTAGCATCTGGCATATATAAAGGGAATCAAGCCATTTCAGTAGGAAGCACACTGGTTTGGAGAAATATACTCCGGGTTTCAGCCCTGTTATCCGTTGATTCTTTTGAGAAAGGAGGAAAGTGAGGACCAGAAAAGTTGAGTAATTTATCAAAGCCTTCCAATCTATAATGCCATTCAGAAGGACACTTGGGAAGTGTAAAGAAATGATACAGCAAAGCCCTGGACTTTAGGACATTCCCCATAGAGGGTCACTAGATGGTAGTGATGGTGACACTTATACTCTGTTAATGGTGGGAAAATGTGGGGAAAATGCACACGCACAAATTTGTATTTCTTAGACAGGCGGTGATGCTCAAGGGCATTATTGACACAGAATATTAGGGGTAAAAAATGTTAATATGAAAAAGAAAGGACATACATGAATGACCCTGTCCTGGAGGAAGGATGTAAGGCCTTAGAGCAGTGGTCCTCAATCTTCCTCATGCCGCGACCCCTTAACACACATCCTCATGTGGTGGTGCCTCCCAACCATAAAATTATTTTCGTTGCTCCTTCGTAACTAATTTTGCTACTGTTATGAATTGGAATGTAGATATCTAATTTGCAGGATGTATTTTCATTGTTACAAATTGAACATAATTAAAGCATAGTGATTAACCACAAAATAATATGTAATTATATATTCTGAAATATTTATGTTTTCCAATAGTCTTAGGTGGCGACCCCTGTGAAAGGATCGTTCAACCCCCAAAGGGGTCACGACCCACAGGTTGAGAATCGCTGCCTGAGAGCCTGTACCATTGAGGCACAACAAAATAACCAAACTAGATCATAACTGCTAAAGGAAATTGCATTTACTAGCCTATTCCAGGATCCAAATCAAAGTAAACATGAAAACCAAACAGAAGCTCAGCCTACTGCATAAGAAAATAGTACTTCCTTGCTTAAAAAGCGCAGTCATGAAATCAACTGATGACAACCAAGCCACAAGAAAAGATCTGATGAAATAAGAACTTCCCCTTGGAAGCGAGTGGTGTTCCACCCACTAGGAGCCCTTCTATCCCACTCCCTGGCCGAGTCTACATCAAGTGAGCATATTCAGGCCACAGTGTGGAGAAGCAACCTGCCTGGGCTCGTGCAACTCTTTAGAAGGATCCAGTTCTTGTTCTGTTTGTGCCCCTAATCTCAAGTCTAATGTTGCCAAATACCAGTTCGACACCACTTCACTTCCTTGGGTCTGAAAATACCAGGTGATAGCATGAAAGGTTTTGTTTTGTGCTGAGGTGTTTGGTGTGTGTTATATTGTTTTTCAATATATACGAAAATTCCCAGATACCCAGTTCAACTGCATTTTAAAAGACAAAGAGAGAAGTAAATTTTCAGG